CTTGCCATTTTGAAATTCATGTTTTTGCTTTGAGCAGGCTATTCAGTTCATAAGATCAGATCAAACCTTTGAGCGCAATGAAAAATGCAGGGTTCCACACATTTCATTCATGTAGTCCCAACACAAATTGATTAAGTTGACTTAATACTTTTAACAAATTTATGAGGATTGAACATAAAAAATTAAGTTGTCTCAATGAAATCTCAAGAATTGTGTTAATTCAGCTTATTTTAAATAAGTAGTTTGAACAAGCAAACAAAATTTGAGAGAAGCTTTTAAAATAAAATCAGTTGTTTACTGTATAAAAATACGACATTTTGAAATATATTGGTTATTGGCCTCCAAATATTAAGAGTTATTGGTTATAGATATCAGCCCTAAAAATCCATACCGGTGAATCCCTCGTTTTTAATGAAATCTGAGAGTTCTCTCCCTCCCTTGAGTTTCATCTACATAAATCAGGAAGTATAATCCAAGTCTTCAGAAGAGGCACAATCGGTTTATTTGATGAACAAATTTAAGTTGGGGTTTGTTCACAAATGAACGTGGATTAGTGAACATGGATGTCATTTAAACTTCTGTGACCTAATTTAAATGTTTTTTAACCATGTTCACTATGAGGTTTGAATGAGCAGACTTTAAATAGAAGTAATAAAACGTTCAGTATGATTTGAAATATTTTGATTTGTGTTCAAATTTTGGAACAATGTGAATGTACATACATTTTGACAATACTAGAACTAGAATGAAATGTAGCTAACCATATTATATATGCATAGGTAACATGGGAACACAGTAAACAATCTTTTTTAAACAGGTTATTCCCAGATCATGTGTTATGTAAAGGACTGCTTGCCTAATCATACTAATGCCTACATTTAATCTGCACTTCTGGTATTTTTGGCCCAAATTCATCTGTCACTTGTTAAAAGAAATAATCTAAATGGCAAAATCTGTGTTGGTTTGTTTGCTGGATCTCAGGAGGTTATGATCTTTACATATCCAATACAATGCCTTTACTTTCCATGAGGTAGATGTCAGATATTTGCTTTGTGAATCTAACAAGAGCGGGCACTCTCTGAGGATGCCGACGTTAGTATTAATCAGAGGAACATCTAATTGAATAACAGCACAGATGTGAAAACACAACAATGAGAAAATCCTATCCTGCTGTATGGGCTGTATATGCAAACAGCATGAGCATGGGATGGGTCACATGGTTATGTGATTAGTGGTCCTGTATTGGCTTTCTATGAGTCCTGCAACCCACATGTCAAAACTAATTCGCTCGCGTTTCTGCCGGAGGCCTATGAGATGCATTGTGCAATGGTGCGGGGCACACAGAACGGAAACGGTTAATGCGGAAAGATCAAAGACGCGGAAACATCACAGGACAGATTTAATCACGCGCCTTCCCTCGGGTTGAATTTATAATCGTTTCTTTAACAATGCTCGCTGTTCTGTTTCGAGGTTGAATACTTCTTGTTTTTCGCCTTTTCATGTGTCGTGATCTGCTTTAGCGTCTGTCTAAAGAAACGACTTCGTTGTGGCTCACACGGCCTAAATATCTCATATACAATACTAATTAGAATTCTTGCCAGGAGAAGGCAGACTCCCGCAAAGCAGGCAGAAAGTCTGTTTGGATCGGCTCTTCCATGAATTATTAATCTCCTGTCTTTTTCACAAAGTCAGCAATTGCACCTCAGAGTAATTGTTGCGTGCATGTGGTTGCAAGCCAGACTCGCAGAGTACACATCTGTCGGCCATGCTCTTCTCTAGTGGCCTCAAATCCAGGACAGACTTGGTAGAAAACATTTGTTAGCATCAATAGATGGACTAGATCATATATGATCTCTCATTCATAACCTACTGAAAGATAAACCAAGGCTTGGGAAACAATAAGAGCCTCACGTGGCAGGCCAGAGGTGACTTTTCTCTGATGCGAACAGCACTCTTTTATAGCATGTTCAGGCTTATGTAGACAGTTGTTTATTAAGGCGATGTGTTATGTATATGGGGCACTGGTGTTGCGACAACACTTGACAATACAAAATAAAGCTATACTTTAAACCAAATCTCTCGGTAAGCCTACATAGACTAGCAGGCTGTTATCCGTTTAAGGGGATTTCAGCTTGACTATTTTTTTTCTAGTGTTATGTAGGTGATGAGTCTGAGAAGTGGAGTAGTCCCCATTCTAGGATTATAAACAATATACAATCAGCCTGAATTCATTTGAACCGCATATCTGATATGTTTGAGTGTTTCAATTAGCTTTTGAGCAATGCTTTTCAGAAGGCAGATTGATCAGCTATTAAGTTGTTTTGAGCCACTTATTTCATTGCGATGCAGGTTATGTGTAATAGTCCGCATTTTTGGATTGTAAACAATTTGTAATCCGCCTGAATTGATTTGAAACGTATAACTGGTATGCACAACTGGTATGTATGATTCTAGGTAATTCAATTTGCTTTTGAGTGATGCTGAAAGCCACTTTTCAGAGACCAGATTGATCAGCATTTGAGTTTTAGTCAAGCAAGAGTGCTGGGAATTGCTGTATATAAGGCACACAACGTTGCTTAAGGCCAACAGTGTCATCATGTCCAGAGAATCCACATTGATGTATATAAGTACTTAACTCTGTGACTACTAAATAATCATTAAGGTTACATCAGAAACTGAAAACAGAGCAACCTTGATAGCAAAAATCTGACATATCCGGCACAATGCTGTAAGACAAGTAATCCCACATAAGCTGAGAGGAGTAAACATGACATGTTATTAAATCAAAGATTAATGCAAGTGATTTCAAGTTAACAGATTTGATTCACTGCAAACCCACAAATGCCGGCTTATATTCATAATAAAGATTTGTTTTATAATATTCCAAACTTTTAGTCTCTTCTTGTCCAGTAGAATCCGAGAGAAACAAACCTGTCCTCTTTAGTGTGATGGGGGAATTCAGGTCATAATGTGAACAGATGCTTTGGTGTGTGGCAGCTGTAGTGTACTCAGACAGCACCGTGAGCTGATAATGCTACTGTAACCTCTTTGTGGCCCTATTAACCTCGTCCTGTATCGTCTCTCTCTTCTCTGGCTCATTTTCATATACTTTTTTCCCCCCCTTCATCTCAATCTCTGTCTTCTCTGACTGCTTACTGTGGTTGTGATTAAGTGGCCCAGATTAGTACCAAAGTAAGTAAACACCATTAGCGAGTCGGCCAGCCAATCAGATTGGCGAGCACCGAGTCTCCAGTGACATGCTGACCTGCTGCCAGAGTCTGCGTGCGTTTCCACAGCAACTTGCTGTAAAAGACACACAGGCAGCACTTCCATAATGCAGGGAGATTGAGAGAATGAAACAAAGAGAGAGAGGTTATGCTGATCTGAAAATAGATACACTGTTGATATAAGTACATCCCTCATTCACCAGAATGGACACTTTGTTCAACTTAAAACAGTAAAATGGTTGCCGATTTTACTTTTTATAGTCACAGATACAGGGATGGGTAGGATATGTATATATCTTAACAGCCAGACATTCAGCTTTTTTTTTTTTTCAGATTTACGATTGAAAATAATATATGTTATATTATTGCCACCTGAGTCTCTACATGCACTTCTACTCTACCTACTTATTTACAAGGGTAATTCACCTGAAATATTAAATTAAATCATTTACTCAGTCTAATGTCATTTCAAACCAACTTTTTTTGTATGTTTATGTTTTTATGTCTTCACATCAGCTGCGTCCCAAATGGCACACTATACACTATGCACTCATGCACTACTGTATGTACTTATGCACTTACACACTCAACAGAATAGTACATGTATGTAGTGTTGTCCCAAATGGCACACTAATGTTTTTTTACTAAACGGAAATTCAAACCGTTTCCCTGATGACGTTTGACGGTTGCCAAATCAGCGAAATAAACAAAAGAATTATCAAATAATACCTATCGTGACTATTGCCGCATTCACCATCGGGAGGCGATATAATCACTCTCGTAGGAGAATTTTGCTTTCTCCATCCAAAATAAATAAAGTTATCCAACATGTGCGTCCGATAGCTCCGCCCCTTCCGCTACGTAAGCAAACCTGCGGTCGTTGAGTGCGTGAAGTGTCCATCATTCCACACTTCATTTTAGCGGCTGAATGAGTGCATCATCCGGGTAATTAAAGTGCACTTATTATTTTAAGAGTTTTCAGTGTGAACACACTACTTACACAATTTATACTACAAAATGGCGTAGAATAGTGCATAAGTATGCGATTTGGGACGCAGCTATCATTTTTCCTAATCAAGTTGTTAGCCAGGAGCTCTTGTATTTTGTTTTGTACACCAGAAACTTTGTTACTACTCAAATAAAGGGGTTCTGGTATTTCGTCAAATTTTATCCCTGTTTGTTAGTTGTCCAATTGTTCTTAAGTTCTAAAGTGATCTTATCAGCAGTTAGTGGAGAGTGGAGGTTTAGATGATTATTAGATGATGGATCAAAAAATCTGACTACAAATCATCACCTTAGAATTATAAGGTTCTATCTGACATTTTTGTCAAAATTTTGTTATTCACATATTCTTATTAAATGACAACTTATTTACATTATGGGATGTTTTTTTATAAGTTGTTTACATTTTAAGACTTTTTATAAAAAAACAAAAACAAATGTTACACAGTTTGCTATGGAATGCAAAAACTTTAAAGCTCAATATCTCAAAATCATTTAGAACGCAGCTAAAACCCTCATAATTCCAAAGTGACGAAATCAAAAAGTGAAGAGTGGTTCAAAAATGAAAATAAGGTATTATAGAAATCTGTTTTAGTCATTGATGGTACAGTTAGCAGAACTTGCCCTTATGAAATTCTAAACCTGTATGACAAGAAAATAGAACAATACTTGGTGCTGAAGTTAAAAAGTCAGAGAGGTTTTTAAAGACAAAAGGGTGAGTAAATGGTTATAGCTCTTACTCTTTAGCAAAAAAGTCCTTTAGTCTCTTACCTCCATCAGAGTATGTCTCTGTTCCATATCCATCCTGTAGGCCGTTGTTCCACGTGCCCTCATACTTGCCGCTGGTTCCTGTGCTTTCCCGCACACCATAGCGTCCCTTAAATCCATGTGTCCACTCACCCTTATAAACCCACTTGCCCTTGTTTTCAATTCCAATGCCATGCCGCTTGCCTTGTGCCCATGTCCCCTGAAAAGTGTTCCCACTGGGCCAGGTATAGATACCGACCACCTCAAAACCGTGACTCCAGGAGCCCGCATACTCGCCTTGGCCCTTGGGTCCTGTGCAGATGCCATGGCCATGGGCCTTTCCCTCTTCCCACCCTCCACAGTATGATCCCCCATCATCAAAGTTGAACCTGCCCCCAGTGGACATGCATGAAATAGGTTTTGGCAAATACCCCAAATCTCAAAAAGAAAAGAAAGAGAAAAAGAAGTAATACCCAAACAAAACTATACTTGGAAATTGAGCCAGGGTGGTGGTAGAAAGCTGGGGATACAAACGCCCCTTTCTTCTGCTTTCTTCTGATGGTCTTTAAAAAAATAAAAAGATTTTAAAAAACTATGCAAAAAGTTAAAAGAACAAAGAACGAGCCCTCTTGGGCAGTAGTCCCCTCCTGTCAAACAAGGCAGGAGCAGCTTGAGCCCTCTCAGACCATCCTCTTCTAGGAGTGGAGCGTTTTATTCACAAGTTGCTTCCCTGCAGTTGCTTCTCAACGAAAGTGGGCCCACGCCAGCCATGCGCCTTGTTCTACTGTTACCAACGCAGCAACAATTCTCTCGGTTCTGATGCTCTGGCCCCCTCTTCGTTCCTGCCTCCACAGAGGGCCCCTGTGCCAGCACACACCTACCCGCGCTCCCGCTCACCCTCTCTGGGGCTTTGAGCTGTTTCACTTCCCCTCCCAGTAGCGGAGACCTCCAGACTCCACCTAGAAACCTGTGAGTCCTCAGAGTGATGGCCGATAGATGAAGCAGGCAGGTAGCATTTACAAATGCATCCACTTTGCCAGGAGCTCACTCACTGTTGTACCAAATCCACCTGACATGCTGATGCCATACAGGGAGACAGAGTGCAAGAGAAACAAGAAAAAAAAAGAGAGCGACGGATTCTGCAAGCTTTAGTCTCCGTCAGCTAGCAGCAATGCAGTCTCTATCCACACACAATCGCATGCATATATACGCACGCTTTCACCAGATCAGGATGAGAGCACAGCTTGATCGCAAGCAAACTGATGTGATTAATTCCTTATCTGGGCACTGTTTTGTCGTTGTCTCCGATTTCCCCCTCCGCTCTTTTCAGGTTTGTATAAAAATCCTGTGCTTCGGTTTGCTTGCAGGTGGGAAAACCAGATGCATCGTTCCTGATTTACCTTCTTCTGCTCCTCCTTGACTCAGTCACGTTGTTGGGATGATTTTTGTGTGACGCTGATTGTCTTTTCCTCCGTCGTCATCTTATTCCCCCATATGCTTGGACGTCTCTCTCTCTCTCTCTCTCTTACACTGGTGTCTCTCAAATCTGCTCATTAGAGGCGGACTGTTCCAACGCAGCCAACTCCCCCTCCCCCTTTCACATGCTCTCTCTCTCTCCCTTGCTCTCCCTTCATTTAAAGAGACATGCACTGTGGTAATACTTACCACTCTCTCTCTTCATCCACCTCAGGGAGCAAAGATTGCTTTTCCTAATTGCCCGGCTTAGTCCTCCCCCTACCCTCCTGCTAAATCTCCATTGCCCTGCCCTCATAGAATAATTAGAGCATTTGTCGGTTAATGATATGGCTTGAGATATTGCATTAAATCTCTTCCCGTTGCAGGTGAGATAATATAAAATCTGGTCTGTTGACCTTGGCACTTGATCATCCTGACAATTCTTCAATGGCTTACATGTTATCTGTAAGACACAGTGGACAACTTTTATTGTGGTGACTCATAAAAAGTTATCATGTTTTCAGTTATATGTCTTTAATTATACCATGCTTTTTAATAAATTGTAAGTATTTCTCCTTCCTACCTGAAGTTTTTATTGATTACAGTAGCCTGTAAAGATGAAGGATTCAAGCGGTTATATGAAGATATGTATTTGTACTTGCGTGAAATAAAAAAAATCATGTAAACTTACCATCAGTTTTGATCTGCGATTGTGTTTAACAGTCTGTTTGTAAAGAAGAGGAGGGGAATTTATCCTTTCAATTACAGGGGATCAACTCTGACGGAGCTGGGTAAAAATACTCTGACATGCTGCTTTGGCTCAGCAGGTAGTGAGAACCCAGGTTTCATGCAGTAAACAGGTCACCTACAGCTTGACTCCGAGAAGATTTCATTTATGTGATTCATTACACTACATAAATGTGTTGGAGCAATGCTAACTCATTGCTTCTGGTGGTTTAAGCTTATCTGGCTACTTTAGTGATAGCCTGCTGTCGGCTTGATTAGCATTAGAGAAGGAGGGGGAGATTTTATGAAGTTGGATCAGCAGGGCAGAGTGTGGGAGTGTGTGTAAGAGAGATTGCAGAGAAAGTGTGTGCATTCTTCATGTTTTTACAAAGGTTGTCTCACTAACAACCACGCATTCTTGAAAAACCTACGAGAAATTAATAAAATGACAGTTAGGCATCAAAAGACAAACAATGTTGATAGGTTAACTATTAAAAATACACATTTTAGCCAAAATGAAACATACATAAACATTAGAATTCAGTACCTGTAATAGCGTAGTCTTCATCCTGTCCTGATAGCATCATACAATTGTTAATTGGTGGCGGAATACGTTTTGATAATGTAATTGTGTAATTTCTGCTGTAACATGGATGATTTGATGCACTATGTCTGTGGCTGTGTAAGACCTGAGGAGCCTTACCATGAGCTTAAGCCCCGAGACACAACATCACTCAGAATTGTTAGTAAAATGGGCTGTGATGACTCATGCATGCTTGCAGCACAACTGAACAAATCTAGGCTGTTATTAAAAATTTGGAGAGTTATTAAATTAGCTCCCCTTAACTGCTTAACCAAAGGGGCTGCAATAGCAGAAAGAGGAACAATTGCTAACTCTGTTTTTTGGGGGATTTGATGCGCATGTTAAATCGGCTCAATTGCTTGAGTATGTAGGGCAATGATTTGAATGTGAATTGCTGGTGAATTTGAATCCACATTTGCATTGGACAAACATCTTCGGCATTCCTCTTACTAGCCAACAATGGGGAAAAAACACTCCGAAAGCATGTATCTTTTCCTGCTGATCAGCATAATTAACTTAATAACCATGCACCACTATTTTTGTTGCTGCTAGCTTGACCTTGGGTAGTTTTGAAGCAAATTGAAGTCTGATGAATTGGCCCTTAAAATGATACTTCAAAATAACTGATATGACATGAATTTCACAAATTTACACCCCTATTTCACTCTAGTTCAGTAAAAGTTTACTTCTAGTCATTACCTATATTTGTTTTCATGATTGACTTTGGTTGTTATTTAAAATATTTGAGCACTCATTCTCATCCTTAATTTGTATCATGTTCGTTTTTATATCGAACAAGTGCAGACTATCTCTCTTAAAGTATACAGTTTTTTTTCCGGTTTTATTTAGATATGTAGACCAGTTCACATTGCTGGTTGGTTGTATTTTCAAAGCTTTAAAATTTAAAAACTTGCCAGTTTTGCTTGAGCACAGAAACTGCTTCAGATTTTTTCTACAGTGAGAGCCAACTGCTCCCTCTAGCGTTCATTATTGAATGCCAGCACATATTTTGGTAAGTCTATTAGTTTTTAAATTGTTTATCAAATGAATAATTTACAAATTAGTTATTTTCATATTTTGAGAATTTATCTTAATTGGGCTATCATATTATTGTATTTTTGAGATTTGTTTGTTGTATAATTAGACTTTTTTTTAGTACGTTGTACATCAGCATTGTTATGGGAAAATTGGCAAAATTAGTAAGATACTAATATAATCCAACCTTTGTCTTAAAAGTCCAACAACAAAACATTCTGGATGTCTCCCTTTACTGGTTTAAAACCTTCCATTTTTATTTTGCATATTTGAAACTATTTACGCAATCACTTGCATGTTAAGGTAATGGAGTATAAATATCCCCATATTGAATCAAAACATATTTAGTAGATAATACATTTCACCACACAACACTCTGGGATCTGCTGGATTATGATCAACTGAGAATCTAGAGAGATAACACATGAACTCAACATATACTGTTGCACTGCTACCTTCTCTTTCATTATAAGCATAGCCCAATTTATTAGAGTATTGACTATTTGTAATTATGAACCAGCATAAATCAATATCATTCTATCGTAAAAAAGATAATACTTGGAACAGGGAAAAAGAAAATGCCTCACAGCACGAAGGTCACTGATTCGAGTCCCAGCTGAGTCAGTTGGCATTTCTGTGTGGAGTTTGCATGTTCTCCTCGTGTTCACATTGGTTTCCTCTACAGTCCAAAGACATGCAGTATAGGTTAATTGAATAAACTAAATTGGCCGTAGTGTATGGATGTTTCCCATTACTGAGTTGCAGCTGGAAGGGAATCCGTTGTGTATAACGTTTGCTGAATAAGTTGGTGTTCATTCCGCTGTTGCGACCCCATATGAATAAAAGGACTAAGCCGAAGAAAAATTGATGAATGAATATTTAGATTTACATTTAGTCATTTAGCAGACACTTTTATCCAAAGCGACTTACAAATGAGGACAAGGAAGCAATTTACACAACTATAAGAGCAACAATGAATAATTGCTATAGGCAAGTTCCAGGTCTGTAAAGTCTAAGAAGGAAAGTATTAGTTTTTTTTTTTTTTTTGGTACAGTTAGTGTGATATCCAGAGAGGCAATTGCAGATTAGGAAGTGAAGTGGAGACTAAAGAGTTGAGTTTTTAGTCGTTTCTTGAAACGTTAGTCGTTTAGTCGTTTCTTGAAACGTTCAGTATATTTAGTATACTGAATCTAAAGAAATAGAGGACTGAGTGGAAAGTATTTAAGAATAATAATAATAAAAAAAGATTGGATGAGGATATTTACACGACTTAGTCATTGATTGAGCTTTAGGACAATTGGCGCCATCTTCGGGAAAGTTGACGTAATGAAATGACAAAAGCAGAGGTTTGCAATATTTGCCCAGAGCCAAAGTCATACTTCAAAAAGGGTTTTTTTCCTGAACTGCCACAATAATAGTCATGCTAAATTATACTTTAACAAACATGCCTCGTGTCTAAAACGGAGTTATGAGTGAACGTCAAGTTAATGCGCTCTATCGCTTTAAATAATACAATATTTTACTGTCCACATCAAATATGACTGCATGCGCTTGAGAGATTTGCAAGAATCGCGCTTCGGCCAATCACAGAGAAGAATAAGATTACT